TTAACTGGGATGTAGGTTTCTTTGTCCTCTAATAATTTTTTGGCTTTTTGCAAGTATTGTGATTTATCCATAATAACCCTGGTTTGTCCTTTGTCTTCTGAGAGGATGATGATAGTTTGGTCCTTCCTATTCTAAAACAAAATTTAATACTCTTTTAAAAAAACTTTTTTGTAAGTAAACAATAGCGATATATCAAAACAATAAGAAAAATATCCTAGAAAAATTACAGAGCCTGTCCAGTTATGGAGCATTTGTGCTGATAGATGGCATTGAACATTATTTTAACACAAGTCAGGAATCTTGAGTTGTGGACTTTCTTTACTCATAGCTAAAATTCAGAGTTAAGGTGTCATGAAGGTCACTGTTTCTGTGAACAACCTCAGTTTGTCTGTTAGAAATGGCTCCAGTTTGCTTAGTCTAAGAGAGTAGATAGCCGGGAATCACAAGAGGAGATACCTCTAAGCTGTTTGCCCAAGTTTCTACCACTGAAGGGCTGGGTGGTGGGGGATAGGAAGGAAAAGAGAATTGAAAATATTTATTTCTATATTTCCCTGGTGTTTAATTAATTTTGATGATTTCTGGAAATAAATTTGACTGAAGGCACCTTGCAGTTCATAATACTTTCCCCCCTCCTTTCCTATAACCAGCTAAGTTCTCAGGTGATGACTTCATCATTTACTTAAAGTAGCATATATTTCTCTGGATGCCTCTCTCTAGTCTACTATTTTGTTTTAGAATACCAGTTTTGAGCAATTTATTTAATAAAGGTCTGCTTCCTTATTCCATAACCAATGCATATATTTGTTCTTCAGACTGAATCTGGCTATGGATCAGAGTCAAGCTTGCGACGTCATGGCTCTATGGTATCCCTTGTATCTGGAGCAAGTGGGTACTCTGCAACATCAACCTCTTCATTCAAGGTTAGAGATGAACAATGGTGGTACTTTTGAAAGAAACCTGCTGTATTTTCAGAAATATGTACATAAAGAAACACTGAAAATACTTTGACAATGCATGTTTTATTGATGAGTACTATTATATTTTCTCATGTGGACAAAAATACATGGGTCAGAAACAATGTACCTGAATTCCACTTAATTCTGAAGAATCACTTCTTAAGTTCTTCATTTAATTCTTCTATCACTTAGAAGGAATAGGGAATGGCCTTGAAGGACAGGAGGAAGAGCCACTACCAAGGCAACAGTCAAATAAGTGGGGCTGGAGCCCATTCCTAGAAACTAATTTGAATTAACATCTCAGAAAGACTCCTCCCTAGTTCATACAAAGATAAAGGGAGGGAGCGGAGAAGTAAATTCAGACTTGCAAGATTCTGTTACTATAGTTATTACCATAAAAGTAGTCCTGACCTATATGGCATTGGTTTCTTAGATTGTTCTATTTTATAGGACTGACACATAACCACAAGCTTAGGGTTTTGCGGGAGGGGGGAATCTTTGGCTAGTAAGGACATTTTACTCTTTAAATAACTCCTTAAGATTTCTGTGCCTCATGATTTAGTACCTCTCTGAGGTCCTCTGGCATTATTTTAGAGCAATGCTATACAACTCTCAAGTGTGTGTTTTGTGTGCTGTTCATAAAGAGTTATACCAGCCCAATACTTGGTTGTATATGTAAAGGACATTTTAAAATGTTTATAGTCAGTCATTGAATTAATAGACAGGATATGTAAAACAAATGTTCAAGTAGGAAGATGATCTCAATCATAGCTTGATTATATAAACATTGAAAGATAAAGTTAAATTTATATAGTGTATGCGTGCTGAATTAACACATTGTGTTTGTTAAAAGAGTGAACTTTTGGGTTACTACAATTGAACATTTTACCTCAACAATTTTCAGAAGGGTCACAGTTTGCGTGAAAAGCTTGCTGAAATGGAAACCTTCAGAGATATATTGTGCAGACAAGTTGATACATTACAGAAGTATTTTGATGCTTGTGCTGATGCTGTCTCCAAGGATGAACTTCAGAGAGATAAAGGTATTAATTTAAATGCATTTAAACTAAATAAATTATGCTTTCAGTCTAAAATTGTATATGTTGCAAATTAACATTAATTATAGCTGGCATAATGTGACTTTATAGAACTACGTTCACATTACACAACCCAGGGATTCTCCAACTGTGATTGGGGAACCCCCAGTGAGGGTGGCACCAGCAATTTAGGAGTCACAAATTTTGTTTAAATCTGATTAGCACTGCATGGATGGAGTGAAAGCACATTCAAAACTTTCTTCAGGTTTTGCTACTCACTGTGCCTATATAAGCCTCAGTGGGCAATTGTATCACAAAGTATGTGATGAAGCTGCTGGGTGAAGTCATCCACTAGCTGGGGTTTGGTATCATCGATATGCCAGTGATACCCATTTTTATTTTTTGACACCAGGCTGGCCAAGTGAGGCTGTCAAGGTTAGAGCTGTGGCTTCAGTTCCTGAAGGCTATGTAGGCTTGGATGGGGAGGAACCAACTCCAACTCAGTCCTACCAAGACTGAGTGGCTATGGATATTAAGGGACCCTGGATCTGGGGATTTTTCCATCTATATTCTTGGATGAGGTAGTAGTTCCCATTCAAGAGTAGTACACAGCTCCTGCTCAAAGAGCAGATTGCAGCTATAGCCAAAAGGGCTTTTATATAGCTCCATCTGGTGTGCCAGTTGCACCCCTTCTTGGATCAGGAGGCCCTTCAGACAGTCACTCATGCCCTAGTCACTTCATGGCTCAGCTACTGCAATATGCTCTATATGGGACTGCCCTTGAAAACAACTTGGAAGCTCCTACTGGTCCAGAATGCAGCAGCATGAGCAGTGATGGCATACCTCGGTATGCCCATGTGACAGCTCTGCTTTGTGAGCTGCACTGGCTGCCAGTATGCTTCCAGGTGCGATTCAAGATATTGGTCATCACCTATAAAGCTCTATATGACATAAGACCAGCTTATTTGAGGGACCACTTGTCTCCCATTGTTTCTGGCTGACCTATATGTGCTGGCAGAAGTGATGTGCTCCAGGTTCCTTTGATTAAACAGTGACATCTATTGGAAACTAGGAAGCATGCCTTCTCTGTCACAGTGCCTACATTTTTGTAATGAGATTCCCCCAGAAATCCATGTGGCTCCCATCATGTTGGCATTTTGTAAAGCCCTGAAGCCCTGGTTGTTCTCCCAGGCCTGTATAAGTTTTTGCATATGTTTTTGTATCAAGTGATCAGATTCCATCTTGTTTTTGTTTTGTATTAGGTTTTTATTGCTTAGTATACTGTGAGCCACCCAGAATCAATTTGGAGTTGGGTGACACTTAAATTGAATGAAATAAGTGATAATATATAATAAAGTTTGAAAATCCCTGTGTGTGTGTGTGTGTGTGTGTGAGAGAGAGAGAGAGAGAGAGATTAATTAAAAATAGATGTATTATTTCTCACTCTAATCCCAATAAAATCATAAATTTTCTTTGTGGGGTGATGTTTCACTAATTTGTTAGGATGTTGGGGGGGGTTGCAGTAACATAAAGTTCAAGAATCTTCAACATAACCTCTTTCAAGAGAAGAAATAGTGTATTTGAGTGTCCTGTTCTTTTCCAATTGCCTATCTTTTTGCTTTCTTCAGCTGATCCATACTTTCATGTATACTTGATAGATTAAAAAGTTACTGCACAACTACCCATAGATTATTATATCATGGTGAAATTCAGATATTTTGGGCTTGTGCTAGATTAGTGCAGGGTATAAGATCTTCCTGATCAGCATTACAGGTAGTCCTCACTTACTGACCACTCATTCGGTGACTGTTCAAAGTTATGACAGCACTGAAAAAGGAGATTTATGACTGGTCCTTGAAGTTGCAACCATCACAGCATCCCCGTGGTCACATGATTGTGATTCAGGCTGTTGGCAACCAGCATGCATTTCCAACGGTTGCAGCATCCCACAGTCATGTGGTTGCCATTTGCAACCTTCAGAGCTGGCTTCCAACAAGCAAAGTCAGTGGAAAAGCCAGCAGGAAGTCACAAGTCGGGGTCACAAGATGTCGTTCTTAACAACTGCAGATGATTCACTTCACGATCACAGCCAGAACTGACATTGTAAGTTGGCACGGTCACATGACGTTTCACTTTACAACCATGTTGCTTAGCAATGGAGTTGCTGGTCCCAACTGCAGTCAGTAAGCGAGGACTATCTGAAGCTAAGAAAACTTTGTGCAATGGGATACATTCATATGTAACTCAGCAGTAAAGCACTAATGCAACTGTAATTATAAAACTAGAAAATATATACCCAAGTACAGCCTGGTCCTATACACTGTTACTTGTGTTAATGGGCCTTACTGCCCAAGGAATGTGGTTAGAATTAAGACACTACTAAATATCTAAATTGGAAAAAGAGTCAGTATTTGTTTTGACATTTATTTTATTGTAACAGGCCTGCTGTTCTCAGTATGCAATTTTGGTATTTTCCAACATAACTTGCAATAAGTTTAGCTAAAGACAGCTTTTATTTTCACTGAGAATTTAAAAGCGTATACCAAATAAAGTCATGAAATGAAATCAGCATACTAATAAAGGATATGATTAAAGATCACCTTAGCTGTTTTGCTTAACTGGTGTTTCAGTAGCACTCATCTCTCCCCGCCTATTCATTAGCATAGCTGAACTATAACCATTTCTTCTAACATTTGAATTTTTAATATTTCTAATTTCCTGCTTGATGTATACACAGTATAAAAAGTATACAGCTATGAATGTCTAGTAATGTGCATACAATTTATATCCAGCTTGGATATTGATTTAATAAAATGCTTTCATGGTTTACTAATACAAAAATACTAGCTGACGCACAATATTTGATAAAGAATTATTTCTCTGCTATTTCTTCTGATTCTATGCTATTCACATTAGTAATTGATTTATTTCTTTGTTGTAGTGGTAGAAGATGATGAAGATGATTTTCCTACAACACGTTCGGATGGGGAGTTTTTACATAATACTAATGGAAGTAAAGAAAAATGTGGGTATACTTAAATACATGATAATCCAAATGCTCTGGTGATATAAGGACCCTTTGAATACTTCATGAGTACATCATGAAGTAAATTAGCATAAAACGTGTGGAAAAATAAGGAATATCTATATTTAATCTTATTTTACTTCAAGATATATATCCTAAATGTGTTCTATTATTAGAACACATGCCAACAAACACAGTATCATATATATTTTAATTCAAATGTATATTTTATTTTAAATGCTCAGAAGATATGCTATGTACTAATAATATATAAATATATATTAATATATAAATCATTGTAAGACTTTCTACTTAAAACTATCAAGCTTTAAAATAAATTAACACTTCTATAGAGACGTACATTTACATTGGTAAATTTTATATTTACCAAATAAATTCTTATTGAATTCAGTAGACTTACTCCTGAGTAAATGGATATAGGATTGCAGTTCATTTCTAATGCAGTTACCAAATTTATGTTATTTAGCAGTTTCATGAAAACAACTATTGACCCTGTTCTTACTTTCTACTTTCATGATTGTTTTAATCAGTCTTTTTTCCTATTGTATTCAATCCTATAAGTTTAAGAAAGAGTCTCTTTAAGAAAATGCCTAAGTTATTAATTCTACTCAAGGCAGCTTACATAATTTTTAAAACTTGATTTCAATTATTTTGATACTCCTGGAGATAGGACAATAGAACTTCTTAAGGCTTGGCAGTTTGTGTTGGAACAAAAGTAGAATAATTGAGCCTCTGCAGCTCTTACTGTACTACATTTATATTCAAAAGCATTTCTTATTGGCTATTATTGATGCTCTAGCTATTTCTGCTTTTGGTAAATGCTCATCTGTGGTATTGTCACTCATGCTGTGCTTACATCATATTACATTATTGTAATGTGGTTTTTGCCTTGACAACTGCCTAGAAACTAGAAACAAGTAGTCTAGAATGACTTTGTGAAGCTGTTGACCAGGATCTGTTCAACAGCCTCAGTTGGTTTCAGAATGCTGTTCAGATGCTTGCCTTTTTTTTCCCATTTCCCCATAGAGAGATGTTCTACCTCTGTTAGTGGCACCAATTTTATGGTTACCAAATATAAGATCGTATTAGAGGTGATCTATCTTAAATGTAATATTTTTCTCTCAGAACTGTCTGCCTGACACCCTCTCTCCTTCTTCAAGGCATAAGCCAGAATTCTGTTTCACAAAGTTTTTAAGACTAACAAGAGATAGAGGACTGCATTTTGATACTGCTTAGCTTTCAGCTTTGGTTACGCTGTTAAGCTAGGTAATTTCCTCTAATAATGCTATATTTGACCAAAATATATTACTATTATGGTTGGTCACACAGTCAGCCAGATGTTTGACTGGATTTGGCATTTTTATCCACCTATCGAGTCTTTCCCAAGGACCTGGGATAGGCAGATGTTGTTGTTTGATGTTGATATTATTGTGTATTAACAGCCTTCAGGATAAAACTTTTTAATAAGGGTATAGTACTGCCTCTCTATATGGAAAACCAACAGTAAGCTTTAGATCTTCTACATGTTTATCATTCTACTTTGTTAACATGCCTTGAGGTTCATAAGATACATTCTTTGCTGGCCTTCAGGAGTGTTTTAAATATTTATTAACTGCAGTTTGTTTTGATTAATGAATTATATTTTTAACTAACTTCTATCTTATTTCTTATGTCTTATTTGTTATGCTAAAATATTTTGTATTTTCAAGTTATAATCCAAGTTGTATAACTCTGTTATGCATTGATGTTGCTGCCATAACAAACAATTTATCTAATCACTTAAAATGAAATTTATTTTAAAATGTAGATTCTTGCATTTCCTTCCATACAGTAAGTCAGTCATTTTACGCTATGTCTTTCTCTTCTCAGATAGGAAACTGAAGACATCTGGAGACATTGAGTTGGGATGGACTTGACTCATAACATACATACATGTTAAAATACATATGACAGGGATGTCATAGGTTTTTTAGGCATAGAATATTGGTCTTAGCTGATTAAATCCCAGCTCTTAGCAAATGGAGAGTCTTAATATGACATCTGACATGATTTGAATAATAAGTTTTATCATCCTTAATATATATTGATGTATTTTTGTAACATTCTGCCTCATATACTTTTAAATAGATCATTTATTCAAACAAGCTTAGCAACAGATGTCTGTTGCGGTGTGAAATATTGAAATCACTATAGCTATGGAAAATTCATCTGTTTAGGTACATTATAATGTCCTTCTGCTTCATAGGACATTATTACCCTGCCCTGATAATTTTTTCAAATACTTTTAATGGTACATTATTAGATTCAAATGCATGTTAATTATTGGTTTTAAGTGCTGTATCTGCTAGCTTTTAAGGTGGTTCTGTTTTAATTAAATCCCACTCCAAGCTGTCAAATTGCAATTGTTACAAGAATATTAGCACTCCTGCCACCCACACATTTTTTTAAAGTAGAGTTAAAGCACTGAGAAACAGAGTATACAGGAATATAGCTGCAAAAGGGCATTTCTCCCACTGAGCTTTCTGTGTATTCTCCAAAGTAGTTGCCAAATTATTTTTACTCTACATAGCACACTGCTACATTAAATGTTTTTTCAGGTAACATTCATTTGAGTAATCAAGGTTTGTACTGATAAATCTCTAATCTGTTTGTTTTAGTGTTTCCACATGTAACGCCCAAGGGAATAAATGGTATAGATTTTAAAGGTGAAGCTATAACTTTCAAAGCAACAACAGCTGGAATCCTTGCTACACTTTCCCATTGTATTGAATTAATGGTAAAACGTGAGGAGAGCTGGCAGAAAAGATTGGATAAGGTAAGACTCTCAACTTGTGCAAGGATTAAATTGTGATTTTTTTTTAAATTTCAGATGTACGAAAGATACTGACTTGCATTTACATTCAACTATATGGCAAGGACAACAGCTCTGAAAATGTCTTCATCTGTATTAACACACTTAATAGTAATTTTTCCATTTTGGTCCTCCATCCACAAATCTGAATTTACTGCTACAGGTAGTCCCCAGTTTAAGAACAAGTTCCATTCTCAAAGTCTATCTTTAATCAACATTCTGTGTAAGAGTTATGTGACCTTGTGGCTCTTGCTCTTGGCTTTTCTGGGTGCAATGACTCACTGTAACCTTAGAACTAATAAATGATGGTTTGGACTGTGAGAGGAAAAATGTTAATGGCTTGAAGCTTATTTTAATATAGATATATTTTGTAATCATATTTAATAATAAAGGCAAGGACTGGCTTGGAGATGACCTTTGGGGCAATGATAGGAAATAAGTAAAACTTGCAAAACTGTTAAATAAGCAAACTTGTTGATGGGAACAGACGTGACAGGGACAGAGGGAACAGGGAGGTATGGTGAAATTAGCTCTGGGAACATTATGATTCAGTTGAAGATCCTGAGAGTCATGATTCAGGTTTGCGGTTTTAAAGGATAAAAAGGATTGCATCTTAGGGGTCAGGACCACTTGGTCAAGCTGTCTACCTGACAGCTCAGTCCAGCTGGTCCGCATTGCAATGTGCATCTAAGTAAGTACCTTGTATGTTATTGATTGCATTTTACTTGCTTATTGAACTTACTTTTAATAAAGCTCTTAGAACTTTGACGTGACTTATGTTCTGGTGTGTCTGTCTCCCGTGTTTAACGTAGAGTTTCCCAGACAGGACCCTCTCCAGTTGTTGGTGATTTCTGGATGAGTTTTCCACCACAAGGGCAATCAGTGAATATCTTTTAATGGGCAGTAAATAACATTTTTCAGAGTTTTATCCTTTGTTATTGTTGTTTGCTATATTGTCTTTTATTTAGTTAAGATAGTTTCGATAGTTTAACTTTAGATAGTTAAAGCCTGAAACTAGTTGTTCCCAAAGTTAAATTCATAATAACTAGATGTTCCTTGTTGATTTCCTTATGCTGATCATTTATTATACTTAGCCGACTTTACTCCTGCACTTTATATTGTGATATAGTAACTTGTAAAAGTCTGACTAATTTTTGAATAAGTGATTACTTACGAATAAAACACGGTGTTTAATATTCTTGCAGGAAATTGAAAAAAGGAGGCGAATAGAAGAAGCATACAAAAATGCAATGACAGAGCTTAAAAAAAAGTCTCATTTTGGAGGGCCAGACTATGAGGTATGCATTCATATGCAAGTTCTCTGTTTTTAAGCCAAGCCTGGACCATATACCTCCAGTAAAGATAGACTTAAACATGTACCTAAATATTGGGCAACAAAGGATCATTCTTGTATTGGTTTGTTAATTATTTATCTTGGGGTGGTAAACGTTGTACGAAAAATGAGGAAGAACAAGAAACGCAATAGGACTAGCCCAGGCACTCAGATTCTACTTAATCCTACAAAGCAGCCAAAAATTGAGGATTATGTGAGGAACAAGAAAACTGAGTAAAAACAATAATAAAATAGATCCTTTTTATTCCATCCCTACTTCCAACAGTTATGATATATTGAACTGGGATTTGGAAATAGAAATTGAAAAACAATAATTATTAGAGCTATCCTCTACTTTGCATGAGAAATCAAACTATCTGACTGAACCTCTGCCTTCACTTCCTCCCCCATTGTTAATACACCTCTGATGGGGGAAGAGCAAATTAAGCAATCATTAAAGGAATTCACAATAGGTTTTGCTGCTAGACAATGTTTATTAACAGCACAAACTCTAATCTCAATTTTTGGATATTTAACTTCCATAAACATAAAGGTGGAAAATGAGACCTTTTGTTTCTACTTTTCAAATATATCCACTGTGTGTTTTCTGAGATGAAAAGAGAATTGCACTTTTTGGCTTAACATCTCAGCCAGATACTCCCCTCCCCCATGCTGCAGGCAGCATGCCAAATGATAAAAACCAGAGCAACCCAGCATGTCCAGCGTCCTTGACAAGACACTGCCCAAATAATCATATTGCAATGATGCAAGAAAATATTGGCACAAATGAAGCTTTAGAAACAGGACTAATTAACTCTTTCAAAGTCTTACCAAACCATGAACAAGAAGAAATACTGAGACGACTGGATGAATTAAAACAATCGCTGCTGCTAACCCGGGCAGCAGCTAAACCTCTAATTGATTTGATATCTTTGGATCTCTCATCTGACAATAAAGAGAACTTTCTTCATTCTGTACTATCTGAGGGCCTTGTATCAAGAGTACACTCTCATCAAGATCTTCAGCCTGCAAATTCAGTCATCTCCAGAGACTGCAAATTAATTGATAGCTCAAAGTTGCTGCCCGCTAATGATTCCTATACTGACGAGAACATTATCTCAACATCTTCAGTATGTCTTTTTGCACCTAGACAAGAACACAATGCGGCTATTCCTCACTCAGTGTTACCTCTCCCGGACATTGATACTATGACTTGCCAACCTGCAAAAACACCTTATTCAAATAACCACCTTTCTCAAAATTTTCTGGAGCCCACTCAACAGCTAGGCAGAGGTGAAAGCAGGCAAACGCCAAATCAATGTGGGGGTTTTTTTTTGACACCGAAGGAATTTTGGATAATATCACTTCTGTGGGATGACTGAAAAATTCCTGTGCTCTAATCCAAAATTATAATACCCTTCCAATTATTTCCACTAACTCCCAGCATGAAGATTCTATCCAGTTTCTAACTTGGAATATTGCTGGTTGGAAGTCTAGAGCAATGAATGGGGACCTAGTGGAGTTCCTCTCAAATTTTGATCTCATAGCACTCCAGGAGACCTGGTTGACCCTAGATGATAAGGAGATCCAATTTCCAGGTTTTAGTTCCTGGATTATCCCTGCAAAAAAGTATAAGACTAAAGGGCGGGCATCAGGAAGACTGATTATTGCCAAGGCAGAGCTGGGCTGGCAAGGACAGAAATTGATTCTTGGAGATGGATCTCCCCATTATCTAGCTGTTAAATTTTTTTATAAATCCTTTGAATTGGTACTATTGAACATTTATCTTCCACCACATACTACCATATTTTTCTGACAATAAGACGCCCCCATGTACAAGACGACCCCCACTTTTCCAACCCAAAATTAAGAAATCAATATTTTAAAGATAGTGCAAAACATATTTTTATTTAGTAATTAGTTAACATTGACCTGATACACTCGATGGGAGGAGGTCCAAACCGTCTCTCTGCAGCTCTGTTTCCATGCTC